ATTGGAGACAAGCCAGTACAACAGACGATGTTCCCAAGGAAATATAAAGAAACCCAGACTGGAAAACAAACAATAAATCAATCAACAACTAAACAATAAAAATTAAAAAATAATCTCAGCACAATAATTGGATATGACTATGAATCTCATCAACTATTTTCTAAATTTCCATTCTAATCGTACTATTAGTAAGATTTGATGCATAGATATTTCTCACAATTTTAGGAATTGGGAAGTCTCCAAGCACATAACTACTACATGAATTTGCTTAGCAACCCCAGAACTGAGACTCAAAATGAGGGCCTACAGTAAATAACCCAAGCATTGTATCCAGCAGTTATATCCATTGAACTTCACTCTTAACTTCATATTAGTCTGCTTCTAAATCTCAGAGCACACCTTGACTGAATAAAAATTACAAAAAGAAAACCAGATATTTAATAACTGCTAGACAAATGAACAAAGAGAGAAAAAAAAAAAACGAAATGGGAAATATCCCTAAAACAGAAACTTCAGTTTGGGTAAATGTGGAAGACCTCCCCTGCTCCTACCTGCCCCACCTTCCCCCTACCCCATTCCACATCCATTCCTCAGAGAGGGTTGGGCCTTACATGGGGAGTCAGCAAAGCCTGGCTCCTTCAGTTGAGGCTGGACCAAGGCCCTCCCCACTGTATCCATGTTGAGCAAGTTATCCCTCCATAGAGAACTGACATAAGAAAGCCAGTTCATACTGGTTACCGACCAGTGGGGCCAATAACTGCCCAAGATACACAACTGTGCCACATTCAGAAGGCCTAGTTCAGTACTATGCAGGTTTCCCAGCTATCAGTCCAGCTACGGTCAGCTGTTCCTGTGGGTTTATCCATCATAGTCTTGACCCATATACTCATAATATCGCTACTGTCTCTCTCTTCAACTAGATGCCAGGAGCTCAATGCAATGTTTAGTTACAGAACCACTTCTTACAGTACCCATAGCTATACAAAACTCCATCCTGTTTGGGGAGCTTGTCTTTGGGTGGCGTTTTTTTTTTTTCCAGACAGGAAGGGAGGGAGACAAAGCCAACTAGCTCCTTCATAGAGCTCTACTGCCATCATGAGGGTAGAGTTTCACAACGCACAGTGCCACTGAGCTTCCCTCCCATGATTCTTAGCCATGGCAAAAGATGGGGACTGCAGACAAATACAATAACTGTAGGTGCCGACTTGGGCTCTGTGACTTCTATTCAGACACCAACAGAAATACATACTATAGAGTTTTCTCACCAGAACCTGGAGAGCGAGGCAGTTTCCTGCCTTAGGACACAAGCTAATAGATTCCTATTAGAAGCTGAGCAGTGCAAACCCCGCCCCTCCACTTCCTGTTCCTGGACCACATGACAGCTGTGCACTAGTAACTGAGCACTCAGTCAATAAAGTTTACATTAAGGCTCTAAAGTGAATCATGATTTCAGCCTGCTTACAGAAAAAGGGACAAAAAGGTATGAGACTATGAATAAGAGTCCCCTCCCCCTGACCCTCACCTTTAAATGACTAGAAGTAGCATTGAGTAAGCAATGTGCACATGCACAAGGAGATGTTTGAAATACAGCTAGTTCTAGGACAGGCTCCAAAAGCTACAGAGAAACCCTGTCTCGAAAAATAAAATAAACAAAAAACCCAACTCAAATGCATAGGGCATGCTGTGTAAGCAACTATCCCCACATCTGTATCCACTGCACTGCAGTAGTTAACACAATAATCCTTTGCTTCCCAATCTCTCAGGATAACTTTATTGTGCAAAACTAACGACAAATTAACGGGCCCAAAAGTGTAAGAACACTTTAAGTATCCGGCAAGGGTAAAAACGAAATGATATAAAGAAAGAAATATCCTCTTCTGCTAAATTTAGGTCTCACATTGACTGAACAAGGAAAACAAGACACAAGAAGCTCTTAGAACTAGACAAAACTGGGACAGCTATCTTCTTTGGGTCTTTTCTCCCTGGGTGGCGTTTTTTCAGACAGGAAGGGCGGGAGAACAGTGCTCACTAGCTCCTTCATGGAACTCTACTGACATCATCAGGATGGAGTTTCACAACTCACAGTGCCACTGAGCTAAGCTTTCTTCCCATGATTCTTAGCCATGGCGGAAGATGGCGACTGAAGACAACTACAATAACTGTAGGTGCTGACTCGGGTTCCATGACTTCTATTCAGGCCCGAACAGGAACATGGACTGCAGAGTTTTCTCACCAGAACCTGGAGAATGGGGCGCTTCCAGCCCTAGGACACCTGCTAGTAGATTCCAATTGCAAGGGGAGCGGCGCAAACTCCCGTCGCCCACTTTCTGTTCCTGGACCTCAGGACAGCTGTGCACTAGTAACCGGGCCCTAGGACACTAAGGTCTACATTAAGACTCTGAAGGATCCTATGACTCCAGTCTGCCTACACGAAGGAGGCGAGGGTCGGCCATTGGAGACTCATGCTGTTCCTCACTTTCCGGAATGGCTAGAAATGGGCTTGAGGAAGCAGTGCGTGCATACACAGGGATAAAGGAAACACATTCCACATGATGGCACTGTTGCTGCACTACAAAGAGGGCAACAGTCATGCACGGCTCTGCTCCCGCCCTTCCAGGCTGAAAAAACGTACAGTATAAAAGCGGAGTGCTGCAACCATAACAGCCAGGACTTCTTGAGAAGGGAGAAGTGATTTATTGAGAGCTTAGCTTCCATTTTAATTCTCTAATTTTCTGTTAGTGTCACAACTGGTAGGGCTATACCTTCATAGGAACTCACCATCAAAGCACGAAAGACAAAAGTTTGAGGAAGGGAAGATGGAAAGTATACTGAAGGGATGATAAATTCCACCCAGAGAGATCACAGGGCTGTACTTACAAACTTTTATCTCATAAATAAAACTAAATACTAAAAAAGAAAAATTGCATCTAAACTGCACCATGTTGTGGATAGCTCCTCATACCTCTAATTTTGAGGAAACTTTGGAGGTGACACACAGTTTTAATGTCAATAGAAGCATTGCTCTCAAAGGAAGTAGGAAGAAACACATAGCAAAAGGAAACTGTGCTGTCCAAGATTTAAATAGAAGCTCAAAAAAGGTTAATTTTAAAAAACAAAACAAAACAAAAAAACAAACAAAAAAGAAAAACTGGTACTTTTCATTGTGGATTTCTGAGCAATTTTCTTCAAAGCCATACAAAGTTTGAAAGGCCAGTTATGTTGATGCAAGCATCTCTGAATCTTTTATCTTAAGTTAAGTCGCCCCCTCAAAGTAGTAAGTGGGTTTGTTTCCTACCACTGAGCATGCCACATCACATCCAATTCCCTGCCCCAGCCTCTTAGGTGGGGCCTCTCTCCTTAGGAAGTCTTCCCTTGAGGGATAAGACCGCTGAAGAAGAGCAAAGGATACACTGGGAAGGAAGAAGTCACGGTACCTTTAATTGTAGTAGACAGAAGTCATCCTGAAAATTCCACTAGGAAACGCCTAGACCTGATAAACGCTCTAAGCAAAATGGTTATATATAACTTATACTCACAAAAATCAATAAATCTCAGGTGCCTAGGGCACGCTAAGTAAGCAAGGAACCCCTCATGTATATCTGTTGCACTGTATGGGAAACATAATTCTTTGCTCCTCAATCTCCTAGCAAAACTTTACTGTGTAAAATCAGTACCAAATTAATGTGAACAAATTTTTAAGAACAGCTTAGATATCCGGCAAGGGTAAAAATTAAGAGTCATAAAGAATGAAAAATCCTCCTCATTACATAAAGAATCCTAAGACCTCTGCTAAATTTAGGTGTTACTTTTGATGAATGTGGAAAACAAGACACCAAAAAAAATGGCTTTCAAATTACTCAAGAGCTGGGCAAAACTCTGAACAGCCATCTTCTTTGGGCCTTTTGTCTCTGATTGGCGTTTTTTCAGACAGGAAGGGCGGGAGAGAAGCGCTCACCAGGTCCTTCATAGAGCTCTACTGCCATCATGAGGATGGAGATTCACAACTCACAGCGCCACTGAGCTAAGCTTCCTTCCCATGATTCTTAGTCATGGCAGAAGATGGCGACTGTAGACAACTGTAGGTTGCCGACTCGGGTTCCGTGATTTCTATTCAGAGACCAACACAAACTTAGACTGTAGAGTTTTCTCACCAGAACCTGGAGAGGAAGGCGGTTTCCTGCCCTAGGGCACGAACTAGTAGATTCCAATTTCAAGCTGAGCAGTGCATATTCCCACCAATCCAATTATGGTTCCTGGACCTTGGGAGAGCTCTGCAGTAGAAACTGAGCCCTCAGTCAATAAAATTTACATTAAGGCTCTAAAGTGAATCATGATTTCAGCCTGCTTACAAAAAAAGGGAGAAAATGGTATGAGGCTATGAATAAGAGTCCCCTGCCACTGACCCTCACCTTTTAAATGACTAGAAGTAGCATTGAATAAGCAATGTGCACATGCACAAGGGGATGTCTGAAATACTTTCCACATGATGGCAGTGTTGCCCCATTGTAAAGAAGGTGCCAGTGATACATGTCTCTGCCCCCGCCTTCTGATTTGAAAAAAAAAAACTACAAGACCAAAAGAAAAAAAAAAAAGAAGCACAGTACAGCAATGTGTCAGCCCTGCCTTCTTCCTCCAGAGAAAGAAAAAGTGATTTACTGACAGCTTAGTCTACATTTTAATTTTATCTGAGCACCACAGCTAGTAGCTCTGTTCCTTCATCAGAAACCACATCAAAACACTAAAGACAAAAATCCAATCCAATATATGTGTCCCTCCAAATTCTATAGAACATTAAACCTTGAGGCCTAGCTAGGTCATCACAGGGAGTGGCCAACCTCCAGCTGGACACCCAAGATCTGTTGCCTGGATCAGGATGTGAGCTGCTTCCCAGGGAATCTGTGAAGTGAATCTGGCAGAGAAACCAGGGAAGAAGGAAAGTACATGGAAACTGATGGAAGCAGGAGGGAAAGGGAGAGGAGATGGGGAGCTGAGGCACCCACCTTCTCAGGTATCCCCTGTTTAGAAGCATCAGTGCCAGTCAGTGCCAGAGCCTTGAGTTTCCTCTTCTCCAGCCGCATTCTACGTCCAGTGCCTAGGCTGGTGTAGGATTGTCTTGTGCTCGAGGTTAAATCTTAGGCTCCAGTTCTAGGTAGAATAAGAAAATGCAGCCAGTCAATCAAGTCAATCAAGAACCAGCCAGGAAAGCTGGTTCCCTGCCAGATTCACTTCACAGATTCCCTGGGAAGCAGCTCACATCCTGATCCAGGCAACAGGACTTGGGTGTCCAGCTGAAGGTTGCCCAACCCCTGTGATACCTAGCTAGGCCTCAACGTTTAATGCTCTATAGTGTTGGAGTGACTATACCAATATACTATATAACTACCACTCAGACAGATCACAGAATTGGATCTATAAACTTTTGTCCTATATATAAAACTAAGTATCTAATACATTTCCACCTAAATTGGACCATGTTATACATAGCTACTCATACCTTTATTTTTGGGAAACCTTTGAAGGTTACAGTTTTAATCTCAATGTACGCATGGATATCAAGGAAAGTAGGGAGAAAAAATGAAAAATGACAATGTGCAGTACTTTAAGAAGAACATTCTCAAAAAAAGTTTAACTAATATTATTCAGTATGGATTTGTGAGAAGTTTTCTTCAAAAACATAAAAAGTTTTAAAGGCATTTATTGTAAAGACAAGTATGTTGGTGCAGGCATCTCTGAATATTTTATAATGAGTTAAGTTCCCCCCCCCTCAAAGTAGTAAGTGGGTTTGTTTCCTACCACTGAGCAGGCCACATCACATCCAATTCCCTGCCCCAGCCGCATAGGTAGGGCCTGTCTCTCCTTAGGAAGTCTTCCCTTGAGGGATAAGACCACTGAAGGAGAGCAAAGGATACACTGGAAAGGAAGACGTCAAGGTACCTTTAATTGTAGATGACAACAGTAGACAGAAGTCATCCTGAAAATTCCACTAGGAAACGCCTAGACCTGATAAACGCTCTAAGCAAA